AGGATCACTGAGGTGCTGGTTAATTGCTCACAGACTAATATGCTCCAATACACAGGTTTCTCTACCTAAGATTCAAATACACAGTACACAGGTTTTACGCCGGTGCATGTTGGGAATAGCAGAGTGAAGAGAGCAGAGTTCTGTCAGATGGGGATTAAAACAGCTGCTGTCATTAGGCGACCAATCAGAAGGCAGCAATCAGCTCCGCTGGACCAACCTGGGGTGCCCACCTGTTCTGCATTACCTGCATACACAGAACAGCTGACAGTGCAGGATGAGAAAGATGCAAATCACAAAATATGACGCCAGGGTCATAACACAGAATTTAAAGTTCTTCTTCTCACCTACAAAGCTCTTAATGGTCAGACACCATCTTATCTTAAAGAGCTCACATCTTCCCACGATGCACTGAGCTCTGCTCTCCCTCTGCATCTGTATGAAACCTCATCCTGTTCATGCATGTTACTGACTTTACTTTTCCCTTTCAGAAAATGGAGGCATCCATAGAAAAGAAGCTCAAACAAACTCCCTTGTAAGTGTTGTTATGGGTAAAGAATTGTGATCAGCTACAAAATGAAGCACAGAAAGAGCCCTCCGTCATTTACACTGGAGAAACAACAAGGGAGCGTAAGCAAGAGCCTTACCTTAGCTAGAAAATGCACACTTTCATGCAAACTGCAACTCACACACACACACACACACACACACACACACGTTTGTTCCACTATTCCTGTGGGGACATCCCGCTGACATAATGCATAACCTGCTAATTGAACCGTAAAACAAGTCTTAGTAAAAAGCAGTCTCAACACGTGTGGACGTCACAGTGAGCTATAATTATTCTAATTCCTTTGAGATGATTTGACTAAAGTTAGAGTTTCTGAGATCCGCTGGACAAACAGACTGTGAAGGAAATGTGATCCTGCTAAGAGGTAGGCTAGTACTAGTGATCAACAGCAAACAGTAATATGCATGGAACTAAGTGTCAGAAAGTGGAAATAAAAGGGTTGAAAATGACCAGGCTGTGAACAAAACGTGTACTTTGTCTCCGTCTTGTGACGTTTACGGGAAGAAAAATGCTGTACATTCAATATGCTGATGACATTATGCACATGTGAGCATGTTGTCCCTGAGACTGCATTAAGTAGGTTACAACATGAATCACATGTGACAGTGAAAGCAAACAATGTTTTCTTCTTGGGAACGCTTCTCCATTTCTACACCCTTCATACACTGTTAGTGTTATACAGTCCTGCTGACTGACTCAACTCCTTTAAAGAACCGAATCTTTAGTGAAACTCTTAATTCTCCTAAAGAGCAAATAATTCAGACGCTACATCTCTGTCTGTATAACCCTCAGTGCTCCCTGTCTGTAACAGACCCCAGTAACAACATACTGTTACACCTTCAAATTATAATTATGATTCTGCTTGTTTTTAACAAATACAAAGTGGAAAAGTCAGAAAATATATTTTATTTTAAACTCTGAACTGCCTTTTTAGAGTTTATAATCATGCAGTGAAGTTGTAGGAGGGTAAGTTGCACAGCTCTTCTCCAATACGCTTTATTCATCACATGTTTGTTTCTTTAGCCTTCTTTAAGGTGGAATGAGGTTGTTTCAGGTTTCTTTTAGACAGTCAGTTAATCCGTCATGTGACTTTACAAACTGACATTTGAACTAAATTAGTTTGGCTGTCCACAAATGTTGACGTTGAAAGAGTTTCAGTGAAGAATTAGTTGTTTTGAAAATAAATACATTTAGATTTAACTGTTATCTGCAATTTAATTTGTATTTTCAGTCACATGACTGTTTAAAATATTTATGTAAAGGAAAAAGGAATAAAAACTGCTGGTGGTTTAATTACACATCATGTGAAGCAGCTGATGTACATTTACTTTATTAAGAAATAGCTGAAGCAATAAAAAAAACATTAAACTAAATTGTACTGCTGGTATTTTCTTTATGTTGATCATAAACTGGAGATTTATCACGTATCATGTTTATTTATCATGTTACTGATGATGTACTCACTACAAACTGCAGTATAAAGAAGCACTGTAAGAATTAAGGTCCAAATTAAAATTGAAATCAATTTGAACAGTTTTTTCTAAAAAGAAATAAAACAACAGACCCAAACCTGAAATAACTCAAAAGACTCAAAAGCATCAAAAAATATAACTGATGATGTTAAAAAGAGGAAAGTGAAACGCAGCATTTGGTACAGTGGATACAAACTACTGTACAATGTTGTTTGACTCCAGATGTTGATAACCAGGAGAACTTTGTCTCCTGATGACGTCATACAGTTTCAGCATTTTCTTGGAGATTAAACTTTATTTAAGAGGCAGCTCAACTAACACACTACTATTTCTTTTTGAAAAGCCACAAACTCCATGAAGAAGTAAAATGAATATCTAAAGCAGGAGTTCCAACCTTTAATACATTTTGACTGAACTGAACTAAAGTGAATCCTGAAGTGAACAGAAGATCCAGAAATCTCTCAAAGTAAAACTGATGTTTGATGATGATTAAAGTTAAAGAATCCCACAACAGGAAGCAACGTGTTGGTATAGTGGATACTTGACATGTTATATTGTGGTCTGATTAAAAACCAGATGCTGCTGACCAGGCTAACATGTTAGAATCTGAACATTAGAATTGATTTGAACCTGGATGAAAGCTCAAGGCCGGATGATATAAAACATTTCAGTATTTAGATATCATTTTAATCTGCTTTAACTTTTATTCATGCTGATTTTTCTAATGTGATCTAGACAGACATTGAGATCGGAGTAAAGTCTTAATTATCTTTCAAACTACAGAAACAGTCAGCAAAATTAATTTGTTGACCCTCAACACCAAATGAAATCTGCTTTAGATATAAAAGACGAGCAGATCAAGAATGTTTGGGTCTGAAGTGTGATGATGAGTTTAGAGTTTAATAAACCTCAAACAGTCTGAAAGTAAAAGTTGGAACAATAAACTTACATTCCTGAACGTCACAGAGAAATCTCAGTGTGACAGATTTTGATATCAGAGGTTTCAGCATCACCAGCTGCACCAATATATAAATATGGGAAGAGTTTCTCAGTGAAAGTGTCTCTGTGAGTGCAGATGTGAGTCGTGTCTTCAGGGTGTAGAAGGACACCTCCCCCCTGTCATAGTCCAGCTGGACTCTGATTCTCTGGAGACTCTTCTTCACTCTGACACAGTCCTACCAACATCAGTGTATTTTCCACTGTGATGCTTAAACACCAGAATCCATATTTTGGTGAGGGAAATGTCTTTCCCTTCCTGTCAACTGACTCTTTAGCCAAACCTACAGTCCAGTCAGGATGGTCTCCCACCTCCACCTCCCAGCTGTGTTTCCCTGAGCTGAAGCCCTCAGAGCCCAGAACTTCTGCATACTTAATGAATCTCTCTGGATTGTCAGGAAGCTGCTGCTTTGTGTCTCCACGTCTCACACTGGTCAGATCATCAGACAGATAGAGCCAGCAGTTTGCAGTGTTTGGGTCCAGAATGACAGGACTGAAGTGGACCTTGTCCTTCATCTTCTCCCAGACTCTGAAGGACAGGTTGCCCAGGTGTTTGGCCACATCTATCAGCGCTCCTGAGAGCAGCTGTGGATCTGACAGTGAGCGCTGGACTCTGGCTCTGGTCTGAGTGGCTTTATAACTGCTGAGGAATGGCACGCTGGGTTTCTGCAGCTCTTCTTCAACAGCAGAGATCCTGTCTGACAGAGAGGACATCTGCTCCTGAATCTTCTTCATCTCTCTGCTCACAGTCTTCCCCTTCTGCTCCTCTTCCTCCCTCAGAGCTGCCAGTCTGGACTCCTCTTCCTCTTTCAGGAACTGGTGGAGCTTGTTGAACTCTGCTCTGATCTGCCTCTCTGTGGACAACAGCTGCTTCTTGGACTGTTGAATCACTTCATTGTATGTTTCCTCCACTTGTTTGTATTTGTCCCTCTTGTCCTGCAGAGACTCTAAGTCAGATTTCAGCTGCTCCTTCAGGTCCCGGACTGCTTGTTCTACAGGAACCACCTTGTGACTCTGGTGGAGAGAAAACTCACAGACAGGACACACAGCTCTCTGCTCGTCCTCACAGAACAATGGAGGCTCTTCTTTATGTTTACTACACACCTCCTCCACCTTCTTCTCTCCTTTTTCTGTCTCAGATGATCCAGTTTTCTGTCTCTCAGCAAAGGAGTCAGCCAGTTCCTTCAGTGGAAAGTTGACTCCTGGATAATCCTTTGATGATTTTCTTTTACAAATGGGACAGTTTTTGTTTCCAGCTTGTTCCCAGAATTTCTGCAGGCAGCTTGAACAGAAGCTGTGGTTGCAGCTCAGAGACACAGGATCTCTGAAAGTCTCTGAACACACGTGGCAGTTCAGGAAACTTTCAAAAAGAGTTATTTTCTCAGCCATTTGATACTGAAGTTATTTTTCCACAGACTCACCGAGTGAACGTCTCTTCCCTTGATTGTTTCAAATACTCCAAACGTGTGTTTTCCAGCAGAGATCTCTCACCCTGTGATGGCGTCTCAGCTCTGTTCAACAATGTCCAAATCTGCTTTTAGTTTCACTTTCCTCTGTCACGGGCTGAATGAACAGCAGGAAGTGTTGCCATGTCATCTTCTCACCAGCAGATGGCGCAGTCAGGATGTCTGTCAGAGTCAGTACAGGACAGTTTCCATGTACAGGTGTCTGTAGGAAGACAAACACGAAATTGGGTAAAAAATGTGATCTGTAATTTTCTTTCTCTAAATAAAGAATTAAAATGCTCATAAAAAGCCAAACTGTGTTCATTGAATCCAGCTGAACTAAATATAGAACAAGCTGTTAACATGAAAGCAAAAGAAAGCTTTTGTTTAAATTTCATTTCATTTCAACTTGTTCTCATCCCTCAATAAGCCTCTGTAAAATTCACAGGGTAAATATTTTAAACATCACTTTTATTAGCCTTCTGTTTTTGTAAACATTGTGTTACAGTAAATGTACAAATAATAATCATGATGCAGAATCCAGAAAATAAAAGTCTTTCAGTCGAGGTCTATTTGTTTTACTTTCTGGCACATTTTCTCTCCCTTTCATTCATTCATTCATTCATTCATTCTCTTTACCCTCTTATCTACAGTAAGAATCACACGACTTGAGTCATGTTAGTTAAATCCTGCATCAGCTGTATTTATCATTAGAAGATAAAAACTGTAAAATAAATACATGACCAACTCTTCACTTTAAAATTGTTATCCCAATATAAAATTTCGCATCATTTGATGTGAATAATTTCCATGATAAATGTCAAAAAAAAAATCTCTTTCAGGTTTAAAGACAAATTTTTAAAGTTGAAGAATTTTAAAATGTAATCGTGATAATTATCATTATTGTTTTATTGCCCAGCCCTACCTGGACATACAGTCTGTCTGACAAACAGTCTGTGCAGGATGTTTTTTAAAAGACAAATGTGAAACTGCTCTGAGGTGGTGCTGTTGATCAACACTCTCAGTCTATACAACCCTCAGTGCTGCCTGCACTGATACAGATCCTGACATTGCTCTGTATGTACTTCTGTTGTGTCTTATTTTATCCAGCAGTTGAGCAGCAGAAAATGAAATAATGAGAAGCAGAGAAAGTTGCAAAAATTCAGTATTAATCTGTATCTTGTACAGCTGAGGTCTGATGATGCCGCAGCAGCACAAAATAAATGTCAGCCTCTTAGGAGCCAAAGAGACACATTTCTGAGGTATAATTCAATCTGAATAGTTTATTTTAGAGGATTTGACTTGATTTGGTTCCTGATGAAGCAACACTTTAACAGCAGTGATGCATTTCTTAGAGACCCTGGACAGTACGTCTGTAAATCTGAGATTCTGTGAAGGATATTTTTAACAATCAAAATCAAAATCAAAAACTGCAAAGACCAACAGCGAACAACAAAATGTGGCAATGTTTTCTTCTTGGGAACGCTTCTCCATTTCTACAGAAGCTGTGGTTGCAGCTCAGAGACACAGGATCTCTGAAAGTCTCTGAACACACGTGGCAGTTCAGGAAACTTTCAACAAGAGTTATTTTCTCAGCTATTTCTACTATTATCCAAATTAAGACTCACCCCAGAAATTTCCTTCAGTTTGCTGCTGAAAATCCTTTCAGTGTGCCGTTAGAGATCTCTCAGACTGGACAGGCCTTGTGGTTTTGTTCAACAAAGTCAGAATTTGCTTTCAATTTCAACAAGCTTTCTCATCGGTTATTGATTAACGGTTCATGGATCAATGATATCTTTATAATCCCAGAGGAGCTATGTGTTGTACAGTGGTAGTAAATGCAGTCCTGTGTTTTTAATAGCAGCAGATCCAGCAGGATATTTTACAAATTGACCAGTGTCTTAAACACCAACAGGAAGGTGATGTGTATCTTAACAAAATATTTTGACTGTGTTTAAATAAAAATATACTTTGTCACAGTAAAGAGCAGGAATCTGTTGGACACAGAACCAACCACAGACTCTGGAAAGTTGTCATTTACTGTGACGTGAAGGAACATTCAGGAGGTGTGTGAGCGGACATGTTTTTGTGATTAATTATGATTTGCTCATTTGAGCTTTAACATGTATCCACATGAGACTGAAACCTTCTTGCAGTTTATTGCTCCTGTTTGTTGCAGATTACAGCTCTCGCTTATCTCTGGACTTTGTGTGATGATTTATATAATAACATATTATTAAATGCCTGTGCCTGACCTTTGGACACACAAAGCAATTAAAGCAACTGTCCAGAAAGTCAACAACTTAAAAAATGGTTTAGTGTCTGTTTCACTTTATTTATTTTCATTGCAAACCCCCTCAAAACTACAGAAAACACTAAAAACTGAACTCTGTATCTGTTCTTATTAGCGTTTGTAAGACTCACCAGGATTGTGTGGATCATACTGATATATAAGAGCACTATCTGAACTGATGTTGATTTATTTTGCAGTGACTGTGTGAAATAGTACTTTCAGCTGCATTGATAACTGTTACTCACAGAGAAGTAACAGGCAGTAACTTGAAAGAAACTGACTTCCTTCCCAGCAGGGAAGAGACCACCTTCACCTTGGCTGCTGCAATGGCATCAATAACATTTGTAATTTTAGAACTGAAATTATCTACAAGCTCATGGACTGAGGCCCGTGAGAGGGCGTGTCGAGGAGAAAGCCTCAATAAATTTTTCACTAGTGTTCTCAGTGATATGCCGTTTTGTGATCACCTCTATTTTAACATTTGTGTGCACGCAGACAGCACTCTCAAAGAAAACACAGGAATGATCAGAGAGAGCAACATCAGTCACCACAAGCTTGGAAATGTTCAGACCCTTGGAGATGACCAAGTCCAAAGTGGGCCCCTTATTGTGCGTGGGCTCCGTCACATGTTGGGTCAGTCCATAATTATCAAGAACACAACTCGGTTCTTTAGTCCCTCTGTCCTGGGGGTTGTCAACATGGATGTTAAAATCACCAACAATAACTACTGTTTTGACAGAAGCCCCGAATGTAACTCAACAACAGCATAAAAAATATTTTCCATAATGATATGCAGTCAGGCACACATAGACACAAAAGGGGCTTCAGCACCTGCCCTTTTTTCTGGGATGCTTGTTTGTGTTTTTTGCTGTTGTTTTTAAATAAATGAATATACAGTATATTTATTCCTGTTTGCAACAGATTCCCTGTCAAACAAATATATTTATTGGGAAAAAAATCTAAATAGGCCATCAGGTCAGAAGATGAGACTTTGGAGTTTGATGCCCTCTCTCTCCTCTCTCTCTCTCTCTCTCTTCTCTCTCTCTCTCTCTCTCTCTCTCTCTCTCTCTCTCTCTCTCTAAGGCAATATCTCATGGCCTTACAACCTAATGTACTGATGGAGACACTACAGGTGAACACAGTAACATTTGTGTCTGATAACGTCATCACAATCGCCACATTTATATGCAAATTAGGCGTTAACTAATTAAAATGTGCTACTTTGCACACATTTGACAAGTCACTGCAGGTGAATGGGATAAAGAAAATAACTAAAGCATATCAACACAGAACTTCCCCAGTTAATGACTTCCATCAAGAGTATTTTCCTCTGAAATGTGCTGTGTAAATGTGCAGATTAGCTTGTTTTGGGTAATATAGAAGAAATCTATAGATGCAAATAGACCGAGGGTATTAGGCTTAAAACCAACTCCATCTAAATGTTTATTCTTGAAGTTTTATTTCCATTAGAGTAAAAGAAGACATGGAAGCAAAATAGACCAAAGTCTCAAAATTGACCACTCCATGAAAAAAGCGCCTTAAAGAGTAACTTCATAGTTTTGATGCTCGACTCCTCATCTAATAACTCTGCATTCTGTTGTATGCTGAGAGATCCTCATATAATACAGACAGCCCTCCCTCAAAAACTAAGTCCATGTCACCATCAGTAATTGTGTGTGTGTGTGTGTGTGCATGGTAAATGTAATATAATAGCAACAATAATAAAGCATTTGATCAATACGTTAGTGTATTCAGGCAATTCAGTATTCTGTTGCTTGGCTGTGTGAAGCTGAAGGTTATCTTTACTCATTTGGCATCTGGCTTGTGAAACTAAAAGTAAAAGTATTTAAATAATATTTATTTTAATTCTGCCTGCAGCCCAATGCAAACATAATGTAATTTATGCTAAATATATACTTGAAACTAGTAGCATAGAAAACATGCACATTGTGGCAAAGTTTCCTTTGCTGTCGCCTGCTGCTGTGATAAACCTGGTGAATACTAAAGAAGACCGTGGTCTCTGTCTGAACTGATCATTTTGTAGAAAAGTAAAAATGTTGTTGAGTTAATGTATTTGTCTTGTCTTAAAAAATGCCCTTTTTTTCACTTGAGCCCCTGCCCACCAAAAAGTCTGTGCACTGTCCCTGTATGCAATAATCTTCATGACGCAGCCTTGTCGTCAAAGAGCGGAGGCTACTCGCAATAATGTTGCTGCATTATGTTTGAAGTTCACGCAACGCCTGCTGCAAAATTGTAATCAATAGCCTACATTTAAATCTAAATGTTGTCTAGTCATCGTATTAACACGAACGGTTGACAGTCGCCGCAAAGTAGTGAGAAAATATGATGCCACGTGACCGCGACGCAGACACCTGACGTTCAGGGTAGCGCTTGTAGTGTGCTGCCGTTTCTGTCCCCCCCGCTGTGAGACACTACTGTTTCACTGTCTCCAGGATGCTTCATTCCCTCTAAAGCGGCTGTGAGCTGCACGTTAAAAGTGAACATTTGTGTGGAACCGTGGTGATGTTTCTGTCTGATCACAAGTGTTTTCAGTTTCGGTTTTCTTTCTCTGGTGAGGAGCAGTGCGCTCCTCTCATCGAGTAGGCTACAAGTCAAATCATTTCTTTACATAGAAAAATGGGCAACGATCGTCCCATAAAGCATATAATACTGACATTGGGCTGGCCCAATCACTCCCTCCCCCTCTGCTCCAGCTGTTTCAAATGCGCGGAAATAACCGATTTATAGATATGAACTAAAAAAAAGAATAAGCTACTGATTGATGTCCTTCCCTTTATAAAAATAAAGACATTTCCAACATAAATTGGTGCAGAAAATGTCTCCAGAATTCAGGAAATTAAGTGTTTAATGGTCAAAATCTTCAGGGGGAGGACCCCCAGACCCCCCAATATTTCATTAATAAACGTTTTTTTACTTTATTAAAATGAATTAAGCTAATTTAACATTGAGGTGAAAAGGTGCCATCTGCACATTAACAACGACTTTAGGCTACTTCAGGCATGCCTGCATGTCTGTAGACTCAGCTGGGATTAAATTCTATGAGAAAGGTTGATCTACAGGAGAAACATCTGACAGCAATACAGAATGCTGGCTCAAGTGCATTAGAGGAAGACACACCCTGACACAGATGTTGCCAGTTTCTTAGCTCTAATGAACTATAATTAAACCTTAAGAGGAACCCGCTCAAGTGTGTCACACACACGCACACACACACACACACACACACACACATACCTTTACACCACACACACAAATGCACACGCAGCACACACTGGCAACACTTTAGCATACTTTATTTTAATTCACAAATAATTTAAGGGATTTAAAAATCTTAGAATCTGCTTTTACACACACACACACAAACAAACACACACACACACACTCTAACTATTTACTGCGACTCATTTTTTGCTAGTCATGTATTCTGTTGCCTTTAATGCTGTTGTTATAACTTTTTGTATTCGTGTATATTCCAGTGTTGAGAGCAGTCAGTGAGAAAACATTTTGCTGCAATGTTTACATCATTTACTGGGTTCAATAACTACAATGTTACTGGAATCAGTACAGCCAGAGACCCCTGGGACAGGAGTGGAAGGAATAAAACAGTCACTCACAAATGTACTTTGGGTTTGTAATCAACTCCAGTAGTTTTTACTGTATGTGGAAATTTGTCATAAGTGTGTTCTCTTTTATAAGTAGTCAATATTGTTTGCCAGTCACATACATTAAATGTTTAAATATCTGTTACATATGTGTTTCTATTATTTCTCAATGTATATGTAAATAAAAGGGTGTTGTGGGACTGAAATTCAGCAATTGTGGGCGGCAGCTCTGCATTGAACAAGACCAGGTCAGGCAAGCCTGAGTCAGACTCTGCTTTTACTGATTGTACAGCTACATAAGCATGAGAAGAATATAAGTAATAAATATGACTAAAAGTAATCAATTTTCTAATTCTATCTATGCATAATATGATTGCCTATGTACACCGCCCCTGTACCTGTCACTGTTTTGTCTGCCTCCTCATCCTCCTGCTGCTTCTCCTGCTGCTCCTTCATCCTCATCAAGATGACCGGAGTCATCATCACCTTGTCCCTCTGTGCATCACCTCCACTGAAGTCAGTGGTAACAGCTAATACAGAGATCCTCACATAATCACTTCCTCTTAAGTAATTGTGCCTCCTAAATAAAAGCTTGAGAAAGTTCTTTTGCAGCAGTGCTTCATGACGAGTTTATTGAAAGTAAGCGTCCATAGGTTTATTATAAATGCTGATCAAACGCACACACTGCA